CAATGGCTTGCTTTACTTAAAAATGGACTTACAGACTAATCCTGTAACATCAAAATCATTTCATTACCTATCATGACTGGATTTGCTGGCTGTGATAATAAAATCCATTGTTATGTGACTGGAGACCTGTCTACACAAATACACAGGTCTTTGTGCTCCAGATTGAGAAACTTACTTCTTAAATTTCTGCAATCAAGTGAAATACTGTGACAGGAAAATTAAACACTGATGGTTTTATCAATATGCCAACAATAGCATATTTATAATTGGGCTATAGAATAACACTAACAAAGGATATATGAGAGCAGACAGTACCACTGTGCTGATTCAAATCGTTGCTCAGTGATTATTTTGAGAATGCAGTATCATCTCTTTTGACATGCTGTCCTGTCTTCACTTTCAAACTACRCTCATCAAATACAACTTTGGTGCAACACTAACACCATCAGCTCAACAACTTTGCTTTGAATTCTGACAAGTGTGTGGAACRTGTTCAGCTGGAACAGCGTTTGACAGGATAGAGCTGAGACACTGCTTGTTATTAGAGGAGATGCACTGAAGTTGAACCCATGATTGGATTCAGGAAAAGCTACATTTTCTTTTAAATTTTTTTCCTTAATTTGGAGAGAATTAAACTTCAGCAGTTATTTTATGGGTGATCTCACAGCATTTATCTTCAAATGCAACAAGTTACMTTTTTATGATGACAAGGAAATTGTGATAAATTTTCCTTATGCCATAAATATCTTTGAGAAGAGCAATGTGAAGGTAAGCAGGACTGGACACCCCRTTTGCATACGTGAAGGCAATGGAAGAGTGAAAATTCTGGACTATTGATTGTATTGTGTATGAGACCCAGGCATGTGGATGCCATGACTACTCCAAAAATTAGGGTGGCTAAGGAACCAGCAGATTCCCATGTGATTCAGACAGATTAGCATCACTTTTTTCAGCCTCAGGAACAAATCAGCAGGAAATTGGGAGAAAGCTGTGAGCCAGGAATTTCCTTGTGGTCACGGTGTCTGATATTAATTTTTTATGAGTTTGTTTACATATTTTAACAAGTGATTTGGAGTCGTAAATGAAAGAACTAATGAAGATTTGCAAAATRACATGGTACTAGATGACTAAATGATAACAGAGAAGATGAAATTCAGTCTAGAGAGATAAAAAGTGAGTCATTTTGTGAGAAAAAACCCACAGTTTCTGTGAGTCTGTGAAATATCTCAGCTGTCTTGAATAGCATGCACAGTTCTGCCCTCTCACCTCCTGGGCTGCAAGGTGCTGCAAAAAGTACAGGGAAGGGAGCAAGGTGATCCTTTTGTGGCTTCCAAATAAGGAAAATTCTAAAAGACCAGAAATACTTTGAAAACAATTTCAAAAAAATTGAAAAAGTGGCATGGAGAAGGAAAATGGGGACTAGTGTTCATTTTCTCTTCTGATACCAGAATTCAGGGACAGGAAAAGATCATGTGAGGGTTTCACCAACACTTCTCTACACAATACACAGCCAGGCTGTGAAAGCCTTTACCACAGAATGCTAGAGATGTCAGAGGTTTAAAGTGGGCTCAGATTCACACCTAGAGGGCTTTACAGTCAGGAACGAGGGACAGTGAGAATCTAAATGGGGTTTTCTTTGCAGCTTTTGTTCCCCTGGACAAAACCTAGGGATTGCCAGCATCTGAGCTGGTTTTCACCTCTCAGTGTTTGCAAGCAGCTCTTGTAAGTCCCATGTTCCACAAAGGCTACTTGCAGCTGACAAAAGAAAARCACATCCTTTTTTATTCTGCTCAACAAGGTATTTTGTAATTAACAATATGGGCAGCCTTGCTTGCATCGCTGGCCTTTGCTCTATCATTTGGCCCACAGGCCTTCCAACTCCTCGGACATCACAACTGTATGTGGATGATCAAAGTGCTTTCAACTGCCTGATGATGTCTCACCTACCACACCACCAGCCTTGTCTCGTACAGTTACTGTTCTATGCCTTTCTTTGCAACATTTTTTCTTAGTTGCTTAGATTTTTAAATATTTTAACTACAACTATTGTCTCTTAGTATTCCATAGCCAAGCACATGCCACCCATGATCTGGCACTTCCATACTGAAATGACTCTCTGTGTCAGAGATGAAGCCCATTTCTGCAATATCACACATGACTGACTTTCAGAGTTGGACTCCATAACCTCAAAGCTGTAAGGGTAGTTGTTTGCTGGCTCTTGTATCAGTGCAGGAAATAAACAGCAAAGGAATGAATGTGAGGCCTCTCCTGCAAACATGCAAATCATACCTGTCATTTAGGAACCCTCCAATAAAATACAATAATGCTTCACCATTTTCTYTAAGTTATGGAATTCTTAGACTGGATTGCATCTTGAATTAACCTGTCATCCAAATCCAAATCTTCCAGAAAGCAGACAACACCATGCTATGAAACACTTCCCTGGCTGAAGGCTGGGCAGCTGTCCCAAAGGGGACAAGTGATGTTTGTAATTACAATTTTCACCAAGAAATGTAAATTGTTTGTTAAATTAAGGGAGAATAGAAATAGCAAGGATTGAAAGCCAACTCATSTCCTTTTGCTCTGTCCTGCCCTTCTTGCAGTATCAGGCTCCCTGCTATGGGCAGCCCTTCTTTAGCTAGATCTGATTTCTACAGCTCATCCATTATCCATGGCCCCGTGTTCAGCTGGAAACCAAGCACCAAGCACATTTGCCACGCCTCAGTTCTAAAATATRTGTGTATTTCTCAAGTACATACGCTTGTGAAAACCACAATTAGCAAGATCCAAGTCTATTTACTATATTTCCTGAGAAATTAAAGCAAGCGTTCAGTGCTCCAGTACGTCAATTTAAAACTACATATATTCTCCGTTTAACATGGTTTAGGCCACTAAACCCAACATATGCTTCCAATTGGARCAGCTCTAATAACTGCTCTAATATATGTTAAAGCTATTCCATTTATATAAATTTAAGTGGTATTAAGCTTTTCACAAAACAGCTGYCATATTTCTTGCTCTTACATAATACTGTTGGAAATGACTGAATCTTTCTTAAAAATGAGATCAATCTGGTTRTCTCTACATAGCCCCTTTGTGGGCACTTGATTAGCTGTTAATGTTTATTAATTTTTGGTTTGTTTCACCTGGGATGGGCTCACTGTTGATGGATGCAGTACAACTACCACCTAATTAATTTGCTGAGAGTTTAGCAGTTGATAAATACAGTTTATCAAAAAGCCATCAATCAAGTTCTTGCTTAGAGATGCTGGTAAGGGCACCAAACCAGTGTCAGCAGCTTTTAAATAAGATTGCCTATTTAAATAAGATATTTATCTCTAGTAGATATCCAGAAGATAAGGTGAAGTAAAATTGAAGTTAATTTTCAATAGCAGCACACAATATAATCACTAGTAATGTGACATTTGGAACAACTAACTCAACAATAGGAGGTCTCTCTTTAAAACTGTGTCCAGCTTCTCTTTAAAAGTAAGTTTTCTTCCCTGTAGGCAGCACASTGAGTCACAGCATAAATATAAATATGTACACACACGCAGTGTATTCACACATCCAGCAAGATCAGTCTGCAGATTTTCCAGGCAGTGAATCTGTGCAGCCATCAGTCCCTTTAATCACACACCCACACTCATGGCCAGCTAGTCCTTGCATTTGGGACACAAATTCAAACCCATGAAAGAAAATGAATATTGGATTTTTAGGCTTCTATCTTCTAAAATGAATAATGATTTGGATATTTCAGCTCACCTGGACTCAGAAATGCAATCAAGTTACCTGATCTTCAATGATCACCTGTTCTTTCTAAAAAAGAAGTTACTTCAGGATGGTTTAGCTTCAGTATTAGAAATCTGAAAAGCCTACAACCTTGGGTTTGTGTTTCAGCTTTCATTTAATTTTGCAGCATGGTCAAAACAAGATACTCTTGTAAATCAAAGAATAGCAACTGTTCTTATTCTGTAGCCACATGACGATAAAGAGAAACATAAATACAATATCCTACTTTTACTTCAGCTCTTTACCTATTTTTCTTTCATTATCTCTAGATGACTCATGATTAATTATTAATTCTGAGCCAAATAATTTTCCCAAGTAAATTTTCAGCCACACAGTGAATTCATTGATTTTCCCATTCTTGCATTACTGCACACAAAAGCACCAAAAGCTAAAAAARCCCACAAAAATTACTAATGCGTTCCTTCCAGGCACTCGAGATGATATGGCTGCAAATTCCTGACTTTAGTATTCCAGGAGTGTCCCAACTCCAGTTCGAATGAGTTTAAGTCAGCACATATTTAGTCACATTTGTAGGACTGAGTGTCCAACAAACAAAAATCTCCCCCCAGTTGTGTTTGCAAGTCTAAGTGCTGCAAAAGTATAATTTATAAGCAATAAAGAAGTACATCCTTTAGAAATGAGTACTGAGTCCACAATGTGTGTGAGGGAATTGATGTGGCATGTAGGCAGGGGGTGGGCTCAAGGATCCTTGTGTGTCCCTTCTAACTGAGAATATTCAGTGGTTCTGCAGGGGGCTGCAGGCTCTACACTGTGTCACAGTTCCATCTCCCCTTCAGAAGATTTCTGCACAGCTCATAGAATTGCCAACAAAATGAGCTGGCAGACAACTAATACTAACACAGTGTGTCCTCTAGCTGGGGCACAGCATCCTGGACGTTGCGACCTAATATTGCCAGAAATACACATTTCATCGAGCTCTCACTGAATATCGTTGTGGAAAGGCTTACACTGATTTCTCAGATTACAGTTCCACACTATTATCTAATTTCTATGCAATGAAATGCTATATAAGCACAAGGCCCTCTATCTTACTACATACCATTACAGAAAAATGGAGTACATTTACTATTAGCCAAGGCCACGTATTTATTCTTTCCTGAAATGCCAGTCTTAAACAATTTATGATTTCAGTGGCAAGTCACTTACAGCATATATTCCAAAAAAAAGTGCAATTCCATCAAACATACCTCCACAAGCCTGCTGGTATGTTCTCGAAATATTGCAGCATATTCCTTTATTTCTTTCTCTCTTCCATTTTTAGCAGCTTCAATGAGAACTAGCAGTGGAACGGTGGTGTCTAAGAAGGAGTCTGAGATGTGATCTATGATGGCTTTGCGGAGCTGCAAAAGAAAGCAGTACATTAGCACCTGCTAACTGGACTATTTATTACAGTCTGCTGTAATTATTGTCCATTCTTATTTTATAATATAAATGTGTACACATTGTATCCCTGCATTATTTGCACCATTATGTGTCTGAAACCTGCAACAGCTACAATTTACGTATTACACAGAAGACTATATTTAATTTTAGAGACAATTTTAATATGCCACTAGGTAAATATCCCTGTTTGTAAGTGTGAGTACAGATACATAAAACACTCAGAACAGGTATTGGTTGTCTTGAAATCAAGGGAGCCAAATAAATATTCACCTTCTTTGATGAATAGGCTACTTAAGTGATTCCACATGTAAAAAATTAGTTAGCCCAGSCTCCATGTCCCCTGGGTATTCTCCCTTGTAATTCAGATGTCAAGGGAGAAGGCTATTTAATTTTACAGAGAAAATATTAATTTATCATGTTTGTACTCACAAAATAGTCTACATCCTGTGTTTTTATAATTGCAAAATGACCCAAGTATTTTCTTGCTAGGAGACCCAATGACATGGTGTGATTTGCAGAATGGCAGAATGGCAGCTTTCATGGTAATTATGTCAATGAGATTACTGATTGTGCCACCTGATAATGTATTAATAGAGCACGAAGATCTATAACTGAGGTTGAAGTTCAATTTTCTCTGCTTAAATTAATTGTTCTTGAACTTCYAACTTAAATTATTAAAGAAGTGTTACATTCTGCTATAAATTACCTATCTTAAATTAGGCTTCACATGAGCTTGTAACTGATCCCTGGGACATTACTTCACTGAAGAGGTTGTTTTGCATGTTATCTATACATGACAATTGCTCACTTAGATCATGGAGCAGTATAACAAATATACCAACTAGAAACACATGCAATGCAGCTTCGTTATTGAGTTCACTGAATTTCCTACTCCAAATTCATTATTTTTACAATGTTTTACAGAAAATATATTGATTAGAGCAGAAAAGGACACAAAATGTTTTTAAACTCTTACATGCTGTTGCCAAACAGTACCTGTTTTCACTYGGTGATTTTCTCCAATGTTTCTGTGTGAAAACTCAGTAGAAGTAAAGAAAAATAGAAAAAAACACACAATTTTTGTGGTTTCTGATGCTGCTGTGTTTGTAGGTAGGGCAATGAGCACGCACAGCAGAAATAACAGTGGAGAAATCTGTTGATTATCAGACTAGATCTGKATATAAATTCCACCACTAGCTTATGGATGGTCTCACCACCTAAAGTCAGCTCTCCTTGACTCACCAGAGGGACAGACAAACCTTCCAAAACAACACAGGCAATTCATGTTTGCAATGGTTTCTTTGTCTTCTAACCTACTGTAGCCTATCACATTAGGATATACTGTCTGGATACAATGTATGTCCTGGAAAGTAATTTACAAAGATAAAGGCTGTGGGATTCCAATACAAAATTGCATTTCTTACATTCTCAGCTTTATTCAGGCTGGAATTAAAGAAATAAAAAGAAAAAACCAACCAAACAAAAAAAAGGTATTAGAAAGTTTCACTGCCAGAAACAAAATATATTGAACCTCCAGTCCTGCCAAGTTACCTATTGAGATTTCTCTGTTGTAAAGCCTCCACTAAAGAAAATATATATTCTTGTCTGTTTAAAATTAAGTAATGAGTATGACCTTGAGGAGTAACAGTTTAAAAATTAAGATTTTGATTCACAAAAAATAACAAACAGTTGTGGAACCATCATATCCATGGTTGATGTTTCATTATCTCCAACAGAAATATTTTTGGTTCTGTAGAGCCCAGACTACAGGACTTTCACAGCCTTGTGTATTGTGATTGCAATAACCTCAGCCACATTTGTGGTCAGCTTGAGACATCCAATTTCAAACCAGCAGCCTAATTTTATCTCTCATTGCATAATTCTTTGCTATRGCTTTTCACTGGTTTTCTTGGCTTAATTAACCTTTCACACAGAAATTATCATTATTATTTTGTTCTAAGAAATGCTCTATCCTGCAATTATACAGCAAACTGCATCATCTTCAMAAAAACAAAGATAACGCTGTGTCTTTGCTGAATACAGACAAGTTTGAAATTATGTTTCTGTTTCAGCTCTTCAAAGGAATACATGAAGCTGAGAGTTTCAAAGGCTGGCTTGTAAAGAACAAAGAATTACAACCTAGAACAAAGAAGGAAAAGACAAAAGAAAAAAAGAATATCTGAAGCAATAACTATTTCTTTTCATGCTAATCTAACAAGCATTTTTTTCCATGATTGTTTCTGACTCTGGTCACCTGAAGGGCAAAATGCTAAAAGCTAAATAGCCATATAGGGAGGCATATGAACAAAGGACAGCACCAGTAGTACAAGCAGACAATGCTAGGGAAGTTACTGTGCTACAATTAAGCTTTTTCTCATATTTTTAAGTGAGACACTATCAGAAGAGGGAAAAGAGGGGGAGGATCATGTCTGACTAATTATTTTCTCCTTAAGATGCAAGGTCTTACACTCAGCCTTTGAGCACATTGTTAGAGAAGAAGAAGCATGAAGAATTTTTGTTTTGAGATCAAAATGCATTAAAAAGAACATAGAAACATGTTGTTTATAAAACATGGGGCATAAGGTTGTCAAAACCAGTGGAGAGTAGAGAAGAAAATGCCAGCAGCTGTTTGCAACACTATTAAACATCAGTATTGATGAGGACAGAAAACTCTGCCTCTCCTTGCCTCTCGCCTCACAAGACTACCCTGGCAAAAGTCCTGGACAAACCAGAGATTAATAATTAATGAARGATCTCTCTTTCCTGTTTCCAAAGGATGCCAGAAAGGCAATCTCCTTTGTGTCCAGGAGCAGCTATTCAGGATGAAGAAGTACCATAGGAATAGAAGAATATTGTCAGGAACAACATTTCTTAAAACAACCAACCAGCCAGAACTGTAGAACAACCATAGGAGAAACATCTGTGCAGTCTGTTCATGCTACACTGGAAAAGAACTGGGAGGCAAGAACTGAGTATGGTAATTGCACATAATTACAATTTGGAATGAATAGGCAATTCCTTCCTCTCCTAGGCAGGAAAGCAGTGATCCAGGTAAAACWGCACACACAGAAATGACATGTGCATCTCTAGCACAATACAAGTAAAAACCAAACCAAAGCAGAATAGTTTAAAATCCTCAGGAGTACTGGCCAAGCTCCTGAAATGAAAGCAAATAACTTCCCTTGAAAAGCCAGAGTTTTCACAGCTCCCAGAATACCCTGTTCTTGAGACAGCTGCTTTTGCCTTCAAGTCTTGCCAGACACAAATCTTCCTTCGCTTCCCTTGCTGTGTTTGCAAAGGTGTTCCAAAGAGGCCTATGGCATAACCCACAGCCAGGCTGCTGACTGGGACAGCAGCTCTCTGATGGTTTTGCTTATTGGGTACTACTGAAGAGATTTCAAAAATACAACTTTAGGAGGTTTCATCTTTAACTCCAATTTTGCAGAAGCAAACCCAGACATGACTGAAAGCAGAGTACACTGCACACCACAGCCCTGAATCCACTTTGAGTGCCTAATGCAATACCAGCAAAGGTACACAGAATCATTAAAAAAAAAAGTATTATAAAAGCTGTAAGAGTAGAGCAAACAGCAATTTTCATGTTTCTTGTAAAATTGGTGGGAGAGAGAATAATGATTGTTCTTAAGTGAAAGCAAATAAGACTACTGCAGTATCTGCAGGCACAAAACTCACAATTTCATGTCTCCCAGATCAGAAATTAGGCATGCAGTAAGCACTCCTCCTAAAACACTTCTTATGCAATTCATAGGTATGAGCATAGAATTAATTGGAGGAAATAGATAAAATATTTCTCATAAATGCTTTCCAATGGAAAAAATGTCAAGAAGCACAGAGTCATTCCGGTAAGAAAAAATTACTGGTTCTAGATTGACTATAAATTGGGCATGATTACATTCAGCCTGAACATTTTCCAAGGGTTTACAGAAAGACACAAATTGAATTAGTTAACAGCTTTTAACCACTGTAACAGAGTCAATAAAATGTTACAAGCTGGAGTTTAATTAACTCATGGAAGAGAATGAATGGGAAAGTTCCTAGACACTGAGCTGGTGATACAGGTCCCTGCACTGAACATATTTTTGACAGAATGCAAGCAGAAATGGGATAGCTAGATAKTTGTAAACACTGTCTTTATATTACATTCTTCAAATTTTTCAAGGCTTCCCCTGGCTGATTATGGGAGTGGGAAGGAATTGATTGCTTATCTTGAAGCATAAGCTGGCTTGTAAGATTGAACACAAAGTTAGGAGGGATAGCCTTCCAYCAGGTGTGGATAAAAAGCTGAAGCCAGGATGAAAGAGGTGTGCTCARGTTGTGTGCAGCTGTAAATTTTCATACACTTGGTTGGGGCAGCCTGGCTGAAAGAACTACTGGCTTTCTAGGGTTTTGGGGTTTTTTTCTGAACTGGAATATKATACACTTCCAGCATAATTTGCAATTTTTCTTAAAGTTATTTCTTGCACAGAAAGGATGTAAACACAACTGATGTCTCCTGCTAACCTTCTGCACTTCACTGAAATTGCGGATTTTGGTCCATGCCTCCCATTAGTTTAAGGACAATGGGATGTAAAATGCAGGGGTGGACTGTGGACCAGGCATTCCGAGGATCCTCATGTGTTGTAGGAGTTCTCACAACAGTAAAGACCCACACATTGGGACTCAGTAGTTCCTTCAAGGTGTCTGTTCCAACAATCAATAATAATTCAAGCTCATTTAAAATTAAATAAATCTTGATGTCCTGAGTACATTACTGATATATATCCACAGCAAATATATTTAGACGTGTGTACATGCAGAGTTTTGCCATTTTGTACAAATATACATTCAGCCTGTATCATTTGGCTGGGTTTTCTCCCAAAGTTTTGAAAACTGGCATGTAYACATTCTGTGGAGCAGTGCAATTGTCTTCAATACATGCTTAATACATATTTTAAAAACTCATATTTTCAAAATGCACAAACTGAAAATAGCAATTTGGAAAAGAATCTCTCAAGACTTCTTTCTGCCTTTTCAATTCCCCAGGTGCTTACCTGTCTGCGGAGGTCTCTGGTCTTCTTGCACATACTGTCWATGGCAACATCCAAGGCATTGCTTCTCTCTGCCTTGTCAGTCTGCAATAAATGGCACAGAAAACATAGCAGGGGTTATTTGGCATCCCTAGAAAGCACATTCTTTGTGTCCCTCAGTTCACCAGAGATTTGGTAAATCATACATGCTGAAGGATTTTTTKAAATTTTAATTCACTTCAAGAGCCAGTGCCACAAAATTCACAGAATGCCAATTCATGATGTTAAGCATAATTTGTTGAATCAAAACATACGCTTTAGCAGCAGTATATAGGAACAAAAATAAACGGTTTTAAACTTCTGAATTGCTCTAATACTCTTAGTGTAATCAACAACCATATGAATAGAATTATAATGATGGTGATGATGATTAATAATAGTAACAGCAATAATAATATTTATGTCAATCCTTTAACACCCTATTTATGTGAAAAATAATGCTGTCTCTCTACAAACAGGGTACAAATTCAGGCACCCTCAATGCAGTTTGGTTATACTTTTGCCTGCAGCATTCATTATATTCCTCCTGTAAAATAGAATGGGTGAGTTTCAAAATGTCCAAGACATTGCAATGCAAACACTGTCCATGACATGGAAATCTGTTTATTTAACAGCACATTCATTCTCAGCATCTAGAAGACTAAGTTCTTGAGATATTTTAAGGTCCGAAGAGAATCAGTTGTATATTTTCTAAACAACCTTATTTTTTTTTTATTTCTACCCATAAGCAAAGTGCTTCTATCATTGTTACCTATTTTAAGTGTAGCATTTTTTTCTRTACAATATTAGCGTAATAGTTCTGTGTCTACTAGCTGGTTTGAATTTTTTGTTCCTGTTAGTACAGAAACTACAGGAAAATCCAAAATGCCTGATGAACTTTGCCTAAAGTAAGCAACCATCGTTTACTACTTGCCCTGGTCTAAAGGAAAGAACCACAAATAGTGTTTTTTTTTATACAAAGTCAGTACACATGACATTTACAGCACAAAGAACCAGACTCCCATAAATGTTAAGAAATAGCTGTGCACMCTGACCACAGTATTTGGACTTCAGTTACAGAACACCAGGAAGTCTCTATTATGAACATGAGTGTCTCGTTTTGTAAATAACATTAAAATTCATATGAAAGCAGTAATATCTTGGTGGGCACCTAGGAATATAACCTTGTTATCTATGTATCGTACTTCAATCAGAGTTATTTCCTTAATAAAAAAACAAAACAAACCTGTGAACAGGGCAATTAAAACAAAGACTAGAGGTGACAAGAAAAGAACKCTTACATTAAACTGAATGTGCAATGTCATAAATGCCTGGAAATTATTAGCACATTCTCTATTAACTGAAAGGAAAAAAAAATACTTTAAAAATCGAGCTTGTATTTTCAGGGAGACTTAGAAATTCCCCTCTGACTTTCTGCTTCTGAAATTGCCCACAATCTTTGCATGAACAGATGATCAAAACCAGGTCTTGGAGAGAGTTCTGAAGTTCATCYTAAAACCTTCAAGGAACCCCTACAGGTGGATACTCACTTTCTGTTCCACAGCAATGCCATCATTTCTTGTACCAAGGCTTGCACAGGAACCAAAGTAAACAATGACACCTCTAYTGTGCTTTGCAAGCTATTGTCAACCCTGACAACAAAATGATCCCTTCTGAACTGCCAGGTAAAAAACAGGGCTGGGAAAAACTCGGTGGATACAACTCAGCTTCAGCCCATGTCTTCTCAGAGATTGCAAAGATGCACTGGCATATCCTTGGAAAGCTTTATATTTATTGCCTATTTTTCTATTAAGACAAAATCATTGTAAAATATTGGGATTTTTTTCAGATTCTTTAGTAATCTGTAACTTCAAAGGAGGCCACTAATGATACAGCTGGCTCTAAGCAAACCTAAATCTTTGAAGCAGCTAACATGAAATAAGCTCAGTCAGCAAGTGACATAAAACATTGGACAGTGAACAAGGAAAAATATTTTATTTGCAAATGTGTATCATAATAGCCAATAGCCAATGTGTAGAAAGCATATTCAACTATAACCGAAGTTATTCTTCACCTCATGTTTACCCTAAGAAATAAATACTCTGTAAATGCACTGCAAATTCACCTTTGGGATGTAGAATATGGACAAGTCCAGACTGCAGGTAACCCTGTAACTGCAGACTCTCATTCTTCCCTAAAGAAATTCAAACATCAAAAACCCTACACTACTGTTTAGATAAATCCTACTTACAAAGACTTATGAACTTCAAAATCATGTGCAGTCTTTTCCAACTAGGGGATACCTGACTGCAAAGTCTCCTGTGAGAACACTCTCAAACACCAYTGGCCTCCTGTTGCCTTGTGCTGTTTCTGTAGGGTAACATCCRTTGGTCCCATATACCTTTGGATCTGAATTACCCCTGTAAGTGTGTGTTCCTGTGCAGATCACTGCCATGGGTCTGACAGGAATAGTTCAAGAGCCACACGAGATGATTACGCTCTTGAATGCCCAAAAAAGACCAGTTGTAGTATTTTAAAAGGGCCTATTGAATACCCAAAAAAGACCAGTTGTAGAATTTTAAAAGGGTCTATTGAAACGCTGGCACAGTGAAACCAAAGGTGACCTGGACACCTCCACACTCGGAGTGTAACTGTCCCACTCCCCAGGGATGCAACTCACGTGTCTGGAGTTGCACTACTCTGCATYTGCCTGGTAATTAACACCCTTCTTGTGACTGAACATCAAAACAAACAAAGCCTACATCCTTCTTGTACCATGACTAAATTAGGAAAAGGGCTATGAAAATTATGCTCATTACTCTGGGTCTGAATTTTGAGATGAGCCTGATCAGTCCTTTCAATTTTCCTGCATTCACCTACTGTTTTTCCCTGTAAAATATATGTAATAACAGCTATATGGCTCTCTTGTGAAGACCCTAAAAGCAATATCCAGCTCCTATTCAATGCATTTTTAGCATTTGAAACATTTCACAAGCACTAACTCACAATGTTATTAATACTCTCCCGAGTGAAATTAAGTATTTTTAATTAAGACTGGATAGCCTGAAGATAAATGCTGAGTACTGCAAATAAGAAAGGCCTATCTATTTCACACACAGGCAAACAACATTAGTTGAATGCCTCAAAAACCACATGTGCTGAAAATCTTCCCGACTGGAACAGAAGATTTAAACCAGGCCATATGTAAGGGCAGATTCTCAGCTGAAACCACGGCCAGGGCTCAGCAATGAGTGTCCAGCCAGGGCTGGGTGGGTACCTGCCAACAGTTACTAGTGGCAACAAACACTGCAGCAATTCCAGGAGCTTCAGACTTGGCTGAGCTAAACAGAGAGCTTAAATAAAGAAACACAGATACTCTCAGAAGGTTTTTTATTTCATTTTTGTTTACACTTGTCCTACTTGTTTATGCTCCTGAGGTCCTACAGATGTTTACCTGATAGATGCACTGGTCAGTAGATTACAAGGAAGATTTGGGCAGAACTACTGAAGTGATTATCTAATCTCTTCTAGTACTTAGGCTAGTTGATATCCTTATTTAAAGGCCTATGGCCAGAAATTGAGCATGTTTTGTTTCATGGGATGTGTCCATTTCCAAATACTGATTGTACAATCTTGGGAGGGTCAAATAGAAAAAAAMCCCCAATCCTAGCATGACTCCGTTTATCCCAGAATGACAGAATGGTTTGGGTTGGAAGAGACCTTAAAGCCCATTTCATTCCAATCCCTGCCATGAGRAGGGACACMTTCCAYTRTYCCAGGTTGCTCCAGGCCCTGTCCAACCCAGCCTTYGCCACTTCCAGGSATGGGGCATCYCCAGCTTCTCTGGACAGCTGTGCCAGGGCCTCACCACCCTCACAGGGAAGAATTYCTTCCCAATATCTGATCTAAACCTACCCTCTGTCAATTGTCTCCAGCAGCTGTACCATGACTATGATAAACAGATTTTTTTTATTTAGTTCCATGTATCCAAGAACAATTTTATTTAAAACAAGACTAGCACATTTATCAAAATCARCTCTCCATGGAAATATTTTTTAAAAGTCAAGCTAAAAGGTAAACACCAATCAATACTACAATAACTTAATAAATGTCAGAGCTCTAATTAAATGACTGATCATTTCAGGTTATGTGTTGACTGAAAATAATCCTATGCTCAGCAATTAGAGGGTTGGGTACATTGTACCTTAATTTTAAAAACTGCAAAGAAACAAACTCTCACACAACTTAGGTAGGACATTAAAGCAAAGTCATGGCCTCTACAGAGATACCAAGCTTTTCATGTCTGTTGTTACAATTTAACAGGCAACATTCAATGATTTTTTTTTCATATGGAATTTCTAAATGGTTCTTCTTTTGAGCTATAAAGTCATTGTGAATTCTAAGCAAAACCATAAGATAAAAAAAATAGTGTAAAAAGCAGTTTTATAATTTATTTTGCTGGTTGAAACCATTTTTTCATTACTTGGGAAATTTCCTTGAACAACAACTTGAATTTGTTGTGCAATGACAAAATTTCTATTTTTTTCATTAACAGCTTACAGAAACTCTGATCTTTCAAATCCTGTTGTGGAATTAACAAAGTAAAGATACCTGCAAGCATCTGTCTCAAAAAAAACCCAACAAAGCCCGTAAGCCTTTACAAGGGAAGAGCCAGCTCAATCCTCTTTCAGTCTTCATTCAACACAATTGGTTCACTTCTGTCAGAATTAGTTAACACAGTGCTTCAGCCTTCAATAACTAAATGAAACTAAAATCACTTCCTACATTCATTCCTGGGAGGAGACAAAGGATTTGTCACAGAGAGTGACAAAAATCCAAGATGACTGCTTGGCTATGAAACACCTGTGAGAAACACCAAGTGTGGGACAGAGCCTCTTGTGCCAATCTGAATACCAYTAGGCCTTGGGACTCATCCCTTAAATGCAGAATTAATTTAAATAYTATTTATCCTTTAAATTTTCAACTTGCTTCTCAAAGTGTAAAGTCCAAGTAAAAACCATGTCCGGTTAAAGACACCAGAACCTTCTCCAAACCTGCAGAACTCG